TCCTTGAAATTTGGGAGTTAAGAAAAAAATCTAAGATATTATGCATTTTCAACATTCACACACCTGACCTTGACCCCACCCTAGAGCCTGAACTCTGAGCCCAGGGGCCATGAATTTCACAATTTTGGTAGAGGGCTCAATGCTTATTATAATCATGCTAACAGTTTGACTGCTTGTTGTCCAGGAGTAAAGAAGAAGATTTTTAAAGATTGCATTAATTTTAGTGGTTTTTGCCCCACCCCTCAGGCCCCAGGGGGGCAGGAACCATGAAATTCACAAATGTTGTCCCCCTTCACCCATTAATGCTATATGCCAAAATTGGTTGAAATTGATTGAGCGGTTTCAGAGAAGAAGCTGAAAATGTTCAAATGTTAACGCACACCGACGGACAAAAATGGATAGCAATAGGTCACCTGAGTAAACTCAGGTGACCTAAAAATAAAGCTTTTTTTTTCCAAAAGCAAGGAAAATAGTAAGATTTATCTATCTGTCCCCCATTTATCGCTATTACCATACAGACTTTTAACAAAATATCTCAAACTGGCCTCACTTGGCCTTTGAAGAACATTAAAAAAGATAAGTTATTTTTGTTTCACTTTTATTCATCTATTACTTCCAGGTCTACCTGATCATTAAAACTAGGAAAGTACTTTCTGTATTATACAATCAATGTTCTTGCATAATTCTCTTATTCTATTAACCTTTCAAATACATTATCTACACTGATTAATTATCAAAGGTGAATGGCAAAGGGGAATAACTTCACTCAGTAGAATACAAATTAATAGAGCCCTGGCCAGGACCAGAACACTTGACCAAATGGTCCAGATGTTTAAAATTCTGGTAAAAATACCCTTGCTTATTAAAACTTTTACTCTGTTTGCCTCCAATATGCCCAGGAGCAGAGAAGATTTTCAAAGAAATAATGCACTTTTACTATTTAACACAGCCCTACCCTAACACCAGAACCATGACCGAGGGTCATGAAATTTACAAATTTAGAAGAGGTACCCTCATCATCATAACTATGCAATTAGTTGAAGATTTTCAAAGAATTCACACATTTTCACTATATTATAAATAGAGCCCCCCCCCCCTCCCACCCCCTCAGAAAAACAGCAGAACCCCTGGGACCACAAGTTTTAAAAATTTTGTAAAAGCATCCTTGTTCATCATAACTATACAATTGTTTCTTTGCTTTATAACCAGGAGTAGAAAAAATATTTTGAAAGAAATTATGAATTTTCACTATATAATCAGTAGAGCCACCCCCCCTTTCACAAGAACCCCTGACCCTGGGGCCATGAATTTCACAATTTTGGAAGAGGCATTTTTGCTTATCATAACCATGCAATTCCTTTGTTTAAATAATACCCAGGAGCAGAGAAGATTTTCAAAGAATTGATGCATTTTCACTATATAATCAATAGAGCCCCACCCTAACAGCAGAACCCCTGATTCAGGGGCCATGAAATTCACAATTTCTGAAGAGGCACTCTTGCTCATCATAACTATGTTTTTAGTTAATTTCTTTAATACCCATAAGCAGAGAAGAAGATATTCAAAGAAATAATGCATTTTCACTATATAATTAATAACCCCCCCCCCCCTTCACCAAAACCCCTGACCCAGGGGCAATGAAATTCAAAATTTCTGAAGAGGCACTCTTGCTCATCATAACTATGTACTTAGTTAGTTTATTTCATACCCATAAGCAGAGAAGAAGATTTTCAAAGAAATAATGCATTTTCACTATATAATCAATAGAGCCCCCCCCCCTTTCACCAGAACCCCTGACCCAGGGGCCATGAAATTCACAATTTTGGAAGGGGCATTCTTGCTTATCATAACTGTGTACTTAGTTAGTTTATTTTATACCCAGGAGCAGAGAAGAAGATTTTTGAAGAAATAATGCACTTTTACTATATGATCTATATAGCCCCACCCTAGCCCCAGAACCTCTTACCCTTGGGCCATGAATTTCACAATTTTGGTAGAGGGCTCAATGCTTATTACAATCATGCTAACAGTTTGACTGCTTGATGTCCAGGAGTAAAGAAGAGGATTTTTAAATATTGCATTAATTTTAATGGTTTTTGCCCCACCCCTCAGGCCCCAGGGGGGCAGGGACCATGAAATTCACAAATTTTGTCCCCCTTCACCCATAGATGTTATATGTCAAATTTGGTTGAAATTGGTTGAGCGGTTTCAGAGAAGAAGCTGAAAATGTTCAAATGTTAACGCACAACGCACGACGCACGACGCACGCCGACGGACGAAAACGGATAGCAATAGGTCACCTGAGTGACTCAGGTGACCTAATAAAACAAGAGGCCCAAGGGTTTTAACGGTCAACTGAGTATAATACAACACTGTAAATGATCCATAGAAGTATAAAACAAATTTAACTGATAGACGAAGCAATGTTGCCCAAGAATTTCAAAAATCTGGTAAAAATACTCGTACCCTTGCTTATTGTAGCGTGCTAGACCCGAATGATCTCATTGGGATCATACTTGGTTTTCCAAAGCCTTAAAGGGATGAAAATGAATGCAAAATATACATCATATAAAATGAACACTTGTCTAGAGCTACAATTCAGTACGCACTTACTTGGCTATATAACATTGCTATTTGCCACTAATTACAAGTCGCCCTGGCTCTCTGTGATTCTTTGTGCACTTTGAGCAAAGAAAAAGAACATTTACTTTTAATAATCTTTAATACATTTACATTGATATTATTGCATTTAGTTTCTTTGCAAAGAACATGTACTCAGAGGCAGAGGAGAAGATTTTCAAAGCATTAATGCATTTTCACTATATAATCATTAAAGTCCCGCCCTAACACCAGAACTCCTGACCCTAGGGCCATGAAATTCTCAATTTTTGAAGAGGCTCTCTTCCTCATATAAATATGTACTTAGTTCATTGGCTTAAACCCAGGAGCAGAGGAGAAGATTTTTAAAACATAAATGCATTTTTACTATATAATCATTAGATCCCCGCCCTAACACCAGAACCCCTGACTCAGGGGCCATGAAATTCACAATTTTAGAAAAGGCACCTTTCCTCATCATAACTATGATATTGTTTGTTTCCTTAACACCCAAGAGCAGAGAAGATATTTAAAGGAATAATGCATTTTCACCATATATTCAACAGAGCCCTGCCCAAGCACCAAAATCCCTGACCATGGGGCCATTAATTTCACAATTTTGGTAGAGGACTCAATGCTCATTACAATCATGCCAATAGTTTGACTGCTTGATGTCCAGGAGTAAAGAAGAGGATTTTTAAATATGGCATTAATTTTAATGGTTTTGGCACCACCCGTCAAACCCCAGGGGGTAGGAACCATGAAATTCAACATTTTTGTTCCCCTTCACTCATAAATGCTATATGCCAAAATTGGTTGAAATTGGTTGAGCAGTTTCAGAGAAGAAGCTGAAAACACGACGCACGACGACGGACGAAAACAGATAACAGATAGCAATAGGCCACCTGTAAACTCAGGTGACCTAATAAATAAATAAAACATTAGCAAACAAACTAATTATATTTTGAACTCTAAGTATCGATTGTGTAGAAATTGCTCAACATGTGTTTTAATGTATTTTGATTATAAACATTGTTATTGAAATTGGATCTAAAATCATTTTTTAAATATTGATAAATATAGGTAATTTATATGTTAATTGTATTATTATAACATATTCTTATGCTATAGATCGCAACCCAGCAAAAGCATTTTTTTTATTTGCTTAGCCGATCAAATGTTTCATACGGCGGATGGGATCGATGAACACTGAATATTAACTCCTCCAAAGAACCTTATCCACTTCTTGTGTTTCCAGGGGTCCATGTTTGCCATGCTCTCAATTGGGTTTTGTTTTGTAAGGGGCAGGGATCAGAAGGTAAACTTACTCACTTTTCGTTATCTTCATATTTCATCCATAAAATCATACAGGTAACATTAAAAGCTTATCTATAACAGTCTAGTGTTATAGATATGTTTAACTTGATAAAGTCTAAGCTTTTAATGTAACGTATAACAATTTAGCATAAATTGAATAGCGCGCAAAGAAAAATATCCAGGGATAGACTGCGAATGTATCTGACAAAGAAAATATGCCCCCCAACCCTCAAATGAATAATTAAATTGAAATGATTAGAAATAATTATTTATCATCTTATTAATTCGTGTTTCCCACAATCCTCCAAAACAGATTTCAGTCTGTCTTGACTGCAATTGTCATTTCAAACGATCCATTGTTGAATACCGATACTGTATTTTCATAGTATTTAAATTGAAGTTTGGATCGTAACTGAATATCATACAGCTTCGAAGATACAGTCTCATGAGCTCATAAACATGCATGAATGCTAGTTATCAAAACCAAGACTCTTAAAATTCAAAAGACATAAGTTAAAAGAAAACTCTCCGGGGTAATTTTTGCAAAGTAGGTCAAAGGTCAAGGTCAAGTGGATTGAAACGCTGGTATTTTACATAATGCTTTATGACAAACAATGCACTTTTGGCACTATTAACTATTCCGCACAATAGGTCAAAAGTCAATGTCAAGAGTCCTGAGGTCAGTAAGCATGCTAATTTACAAAATCTATAGTGCCAGGCAATGTATGAGCAAAATATCAGAGTTCTTGAGATATAAGGTGTGACAGACGGAGATACAGCTAACAGACGAACAGACAGACGGACAGACGCCGGGTAAAGTGATCTCTAAGTGTCACTCTGCTCTGAAGGCGACACAAAATTTGCCCTAAGGCGATAAACAATAAGGTTATACTAATATAAATAAACAAGACGGTAATTAAAACTTTTTAAAAAGAAAAATGCATAAAAATGAAAAGCATACAAAGAATTCAAAGCAGGATAAAAATAAAAAAAAAAATAAAAACTTTACAAAAAATGTAGTTATAACATTAAAGAAAAAACTACAAACGAGTTAGTATAAATTGATTAAAAAACAGTGAGAAATTTAAGAATTCCTAGGGTCTTTAAACTCACAAAATGCATTTCTTTTAAATAAGTGTGTTTTCGGGAGAGTTCGAGAAGTGCACAGTTCTCTTTTTAAGGTCATTTTGAAACCAAATCTTCAGACGTTGATAAACTGCAGAGATTGTAACATTGGTACAATTCTATAAAGTGTCTCACAGCCTTTCGTGAATGGAAAACAAACAACTGGTGCATTAGGAATCGGGACATTTAGTTTACTTTGTACCATAGCCAGAACGTCTAAAATATTTTCATCTGGAGACAGAGAGTGTTGGAAAACTAGCGATCCAGAATCACCCTCTCCTGCAAATGGTTTGGATCCCCTTCCACAGATTTGAATGACTGGACTTTCAATTTGATAACCGCCAAGTTTGCTTATTTGAACAGACTTCACAATACCGGTGGTAAGCCCAGTTTTGGCTCCTCTCTTGTGAACTAGATCACCAACTTTAAGTTCTCTTGGAGAAATTCGTCCAGGAGTAGGGAGCTCAGAAGCGTCGATGAGAAGTTTCTCACATCGCTCATTTACAACTGAAATTACCCCTGGGTCTAATTCAACAAGTGATATATCTTCACATAAACGTTCCATTGTATGTTGAGAATTTATGGTCATTTGTCCAAGTCTAACAACCGATTCATCAATAAGAACGTAGATATTTTCTTGATTGCTGAATGCATGCCGAGATGTTACAACTACCAGTACAGAATCATTAGCAATCATAAGACTTCCTGTCGTTGCAAACTTTTTATCTTGAAGAAAAGCATTTACGCCATTGTTCACGTAAACAAACTTTGCTCCATGCAATGGTTCTCCAGTTTTGGCTAGAAGTTGTACTGAAAGATCGTCTTGCATCTTTATAGAATGCTTTATATGTTCAAATTCTGGCTCAGAGAGAGTATTCTCAATCATCTCTTGTACACTCATATCATTTGTAATGATATGTAACGAATCACCGTCATATCCATGCCAAAGAATTCTGTTTCCAAAGCTTTAGAAATAAATAAATAATCCGTTTATGTAGGAATGATATAAAAAGAATTAAGCATGATGTAGAAAATTATAAAAGAGATGATAGCAAACACGATTTTTTTTATTTTTTAAAAATATTAAATCCGCACACATTACAATTACTATTATCACTATTTTACGTTTGAAATATTGAAGTATATTTGCAAGAATTCTTAGAAAAAAAACATCATTGTGCTTCATTTTATAATTACCTTTGAAGCAAATCTTCTATTCTTCCTCTTTTAAAAAATTGGTCCATTTCTGGGAGGAGATGAGGGTAGCAGGCCGCTTGCTTAAGTCGCCTGATTATTGCCCGTACTTCCCATAAGCTTGTATCAACGTTTTCTGTTAAGGGTAGTTCATAGAGATTTCTCTGTGCTTCCTCCAATACATCAAGAATTCTTTTTTCCAATGTGCACGTCATTTTTGTAATGACTTCACAACGGCGTTTTGCAACAAAATCAACATTCATTCTCGCAGTTGAAACTAATTGTAATAAAGTTGATTTCAAACTTTCATCAGCTTTGCCGTCACATTGCATCACAAATAGAAGGGTTCCCGCTTTAAAGGGAAAGGTTTTGGCAAACTGAAATATAGATAAAAATACTAAGTCTTTTTTAGCTCAATTATTCCACGAAATAATTTTCCATTTTCAATTACAAAAAACTGTTTAGGCAAATAATGGTAAACAAGAAATAGTAGTAAAGAAGCGCTGAATAGAAAGAAAATACTTGTAACTTAAATACTGGATGATATTTGTATGGTTATCGTTGCTACAGTAAATACTCGTACATTCGTAAAGTTGCGAAATATATTCTCTGTCGTATTGTTCCAAAAATACACCACCAAGATATCAGCCCCTTCTAATGAATCTAGGAAGAAAATAAATGAATAACGCTCAGTTTTACAATTCGTTGTTAAAATATTTATATTTATTTTTATTGCCACAACTCACTTAATTGGGCATACCTTTTATAATAAAAATCTGAGTATATTATATATCTTTAAGTGATACTCCAAATCTAATTAAAAAATTACAGATTGTTAACCATTGAGTACCTTTCTCCACATCAGTAAGTGGAATTTCACTGCTTTGAATGTTTTTATCAATTAGAAATGACAGATTTTCTGCATGGATTTCTCCTCCGACAATAATCGGACATTCTCTGAATTTCAGTACTGGAAAATTTTGAACTGCTTGAAGACCAGTGCTAAACCAGTCCAGAAGAGACCGATGATACTTATATCGTGGTAAAAAATCCGTTTGTGCCAAGGCTAAAATGAAGACAAAATCATATAAAATCGAATTGTAAGGTTTTGTTAAGCTTGATATTACCGTATGGCTTTTTATTCTCTTAGTGGGTCATAAATTTGACGTATTTGGGTTAACAAAGTATACCTTTGAAGAGGGTGTTGCAGAAACTCGCGATAATTCCCTAAATCGAGAAGGACATTTAAATACCCACGACGCATGAAGAGTTATCTCTAAATAGAGATAATGCTACGTAGATAACTTTATTTATACGACGGGTATGTCCAGCTTGTTATAACAAAACATTTCTTATTTTACGTTTATTTCATGCATAGTTTTTTCCTAACATAGACTGGCGACCTGAAAGTAAACTTTTTTCACATCTATGGTCACTGTCGCCATATTGCACGAGAAAAGTTAGAACGATAAAAAGCACAATTAACGACCAGTACACCTCGCACATCATTTTGAAAGATGTGCTGTAGACAGCATGCATTAATATTTTTCAATATATAAATGTGTATGAAAAAATTAAATTATTTAAAATGAAAGTACTTTATTTTTTAAGATATCGCCTCAAAATAATAAGATTAAATATGTGCCTTATTAGTTTTAGATCACAGTATCAATGAAAACAATTAAAATACCCATTAACTTTCTAACATTCCCTCCCTCTCTCTTTCTCTCTCAAGAGAGAAGTTACATTGTACTTCCATTATATATGAAGCAGAATTGTCCAAAATCTTATACGTGAAAAGAAGAATACGCTTGCTGTGGCCTTCAACTCGACATTTAGATATATCGACGACGTATTGTCAATTAACAATGGCTATTTCCATTCTTATGTCGATATGATATATCCCGATGAGCTTGAAATAAAAGATACCACAGAGTCTGACACATCTGTTTCATATTTGGATATTTTACTTGAAAAAGACGTTAATGGTAATCTAACAACCAAGCTTTATGATAAACGTGACGCCTTTAACTTTTCAATCGTCAACTTCCCGTATACTTATGCAGCAATATACCTTCATCACCTGCATACGGGGTATATATCTCTCAGTTGATTCGATACGCAAGCGCATGCTCTACGTATGTACAATTTCTAAAACGAGGTGAATTATTGACAAACAAGTTGATGAAACAAGAATATCAGCTGTGTCGTTTAAAGTCATCATTTCGTAAGTTTTAAGGTCGACACAATGACCTTGTCAGCAAATACAATTTATCATTGAGTCAAATGCTGACTGACGTTTTTCATGCTTATTGTTAGGCCATTATTTACACACTGTATTGTCGACGGATTTTTCCGTTATTTCCCGATCATGACAAGGAGCACACGGCGGATGTGACCGGTTGGCAGGGGATGCTCACTCCTCCATGGCACCTGATCCCACCTCTGATGTTTGGAGGTCCGTGTTTGCTCTGCTCCTGTTTTGTATTGTTTAATGGACGTCTGAGCTTTGAATTACTTTAAATGACACTTCATGTCTACTTGGTACGTGGAATTTGGATCATTATAGATCATTATGTATTGACCAAGAAGGTTTCTTGTTAATTGAAAATGTTTGATTACTAACTATGCTACTCATGTCTGCCATAAGCAAAACACATAGTAGTTTTAAATACAATACACAAAATAGTATCTCAAGTTCCATTTCCTTAAACCAACACTGGCTCATCAGTATAACAAGTACATGTGATTAAGAAAAAAATATATATTTAAAGAGAGTGAACGTAAAATACATAAATGAAAACAGTGTAAAACATCAATATTATTTTTCTAAACAATGTGGCAGATACCCATCTAAAAATTTCCTGTTTTGTTCTTTCATTCATTTTCGAATTTCAAAATACTACTACACATAATTGTAAGTAACCTCAGTTATAAAGCAAGTTTCACTTCGGGCAATTACAAATTATTATTCTAGTGTCATAGTTGTCAGGAAAAAAGGTTGTCTCTTAAAAGTACAATGACAAATAGGTACAATTAATATCTGGAAAATTTAATCTACTGCTTAATGTTCTGAAGGAAAAAAAAAATAGAATAATTTCATTCGTTGTATAATTATCTTGCTTTTCAAACATAGTTAAAAAATTTTTTTAAAAAATACATTCATCTAAATCAAATATGACACATTTCTTACCTTTAAACTGCCCAGTGTTAGGTTTGCTTTCAGTCTTTGATATGTCCTGTTGAAAAATAAATATGTGTAACAGTGTATTGGGATAAAACTTGCCAGTTGTTCTTTCTATTGCACTTCATGTAAATTTTCAAAGCAAATTTTGCATGAGATTCCTAAATGAATCGTTGGTTTTGATTTCAGTTTTATTCTTACAGCGTTATGGTGAAATTTTTTGTAAAGGAAGTTTACTCATCGTTTATAAACTTGAGGATATATCTTATTTGCACAAAACTTTACTATTTTGGAATACATTTCAATTATTGGTATGTTGGTGAACCGCAATCTCCTTTCCAAATTGGTAAGCATGTGCGATGTATGTTACCATGTTCTTCTTAAAAAATAGATATTAAACGATCTAAGAGAATGATACGTTTTCAATTCATATTACCAGCATTTTTACATCAATTGTGTTTAAATCTACGGAAGCCCATTAGTGCCAACCTGTGTATATAAAGGAAAAGCAGTATATAAAAGCAAACCTCGATATATAAAGGAAATGCGAAATATAAAAGCAAACCTCGATATATAAAGGAAATGCGAAATATAAAAATAAAACCTGGATATATATAAAGGAAATGCGAAATATATAAACAAAACCTGGATTGCGATATATATAAAGAGAAAATTTTCCACTGCGTGACCTGTATCACCCAGCTGTCCATCAAGATTATATACAGATTAACTCCTGGCAGGGGGAAATCAGTAATACAGTACTCATGTATTACTTTCCCAGAATCAGCAAAATGTTGATATTTAATAGTGTTTATTTATTTATATATGCATGCATATATCAATGAACTGTAATTGTAACATTACTTAATATAATGCACTTAATTGAGTAGATGAGCATTTAATTATATTTATTCATGAAATAAGTATAATGTGTATCATATTTTCTGAGTATCTATTGACTTTACATATATTTTGATCAATTTTTTTTAGAACCTACCTTGTGCACTGTTTTACAAAAACTTAGCCATACTACCTTTGGTTTCACAACCGAGAATTTATGAAAATAATGATCAACATGGAGTCTTAACAAGTTCAGTTTTTTAATGTCCTAATTCAAATTTATCATAAAAATAATATACTAGTATGCCCATTGATTGTAAAAAAAGGAATCAAAATCGGAATGGGAGAGAGAGGAGAGATCAATGAAGGTGCTCGTCCCCCACCCCCACTTTATTTGAATGTGACGGAAGATCGGAATTTGAGAGAAGAAGGCGACAGGTACAATTACTGTAATGATTTTAGGGTATTTGGTGTGAAAAAATATCAAGTATTAGGGAATTAATGAAAACTAACGAGTTAGTGCACACTTACATAATTAAAGTGCTGATTATTGTTCCACATTGTAAATTAAATCGATTTTAAATTCTCCATGCATCATGTAAAAAACATAGCAAAACGTAACGAACTTATAAAAATGATAGCACACACTTGCATTTTTGCACTGAATTATATTTCGATTGGAAAGACCCCCTACATTTAGTGCTATGGATTATACATATTGAGCAAAAAGGTCTCTTTGATTTAATTCTGCCCTACACGGTTAAAATGTAAGAAGAACAGCAGTTTATTAGTCCCGTACCGGTGAAACCGGAGGGGACTATAGGTTTCCTCTGAGTCTGTCTGTCTGTATATCTGTCTGTCCGTCTGTCTGGCTGTCCCTATGTCTATCAGTCTGTCCCACTATCAGTTTGTTCCACACTTTTTTCTAAACGCTTGCAGATATTGAACTGATTTTTGGTATGCAAGTGTATATTAATGAGTTACAGATCAAGTTTGCATTAAGTTCTGCTTCAATGATTTTTTGACGAAATTACAGCATTTTTAATTTTAAATGGGAACCAGATTATACTTGCCGGTAGGGGACTAGTATTGCTAATGTAATACTCTCAGAAAGCTTGTTAGTTTTAGTTTTATTCATCATAATTATCAAGATACACAAGTAAAGAAAACATAATAGGTACACTAATACCATCCTGAAACTGAGCCACATAAACAGATGCCGCTAACCCGCTTATCATATGTTGGCGAAGTCCCTGTTGTAATGAAAGTCATTAAACATGTTAAAGGTCAGGCGATGGAAATTTTTCTCTTTATATATATACAGGTTTTGTTTTTATAATTCGCATTTCCTTTATATATCGAGGTTTGCTTTTATATATTGCTTTTCCTTTATATATACAGGTTGGCACTAATGGGCTTCCGTAAAAATCAAAGGAAATTCGGTGTACAGATTTGCAAATAAGTGAAAATGCCGTATATACATTTGTCATCATTAAAAAAAATCTACAAAACATTCAATACTTGTCTCAAAAGGCATGGAAGATTCCATTTAACACAAACTAATTCAGAAAATTTGTGTCCCCCTCTTAGGGAAAAAAGACGAGCACGCGCAGTTCCCCTTGATTTGTAGAAATATTAAATGTATACATGTATATCGAAGCAAATAAAAAATGCCAATATGGATATAAAGATTTGATTGCTTATTCTTTAATATGTGTATAGAAGATTCTTTTTGTGTAGAATATTTATCACACTGTAAAAATGATTTTATGATTTTGTACAAGCCAGACGTCATAACTTTTTCATTTCACATGCTGAATACTATCATTTATATAGTAAATCCAAAAAAAAAATTAAAAAAAAAGGATCGACCGGGATTTGAACCCGGGTCCTCTCACACGCTAAGCGAGAGTCATACCCCTAGACGACGGATCCACTTGATTATACATCAAATTAAATGCAAACATAAGATCACATATAATGTTTATATTCACGACCGTCAGTCTGTATTTCTGTCTGTCTGTAACACTTTTGTGTCCGAGCGATATCTCGAAAACCCTTTGAGTTTTCGCTATGAAATTTTGCATAGCAACTCCCTATGGCTTAAAAAAGAACCCTGTTGATTTTGAGGTCAAAAGGCCAAGGTCATAAATTAATTATTTCTGTCTGTTTTAACACTTTTGTTTCCGCGCGATATCTCGAGAATCCTTTGAGCTTTTGCAATGAAATTTTACATAACAACTCCTTGTGGCCTAAGAAAGACCCCTATTGATTTAGAGGTCAAAAGGTCAAAGTTCAAGTTCGTAAATTCATACATTCCGTCTGTGTGTAACACTTTCGTTTCCGGGCGATATCTCAAGAAGCTTTTGAGCTTTTGCAATGCAATTTTATTCCATAACTCCCTATGGCTTCTTTCGCCCCTCTCAAAGTGTCCCGCCCCGTTTTTTTTTTTTATTTATTGTATTAAAAGTCGCTTGGAAATATTTTTAGCACAGGGGCATGTGGAGAGTTATTACGTATAATACAGGTTGTCGGCGGACTTTATATTCTAATTACATCTATTAGAACTGTTTAGTAAAGGCTGAATTAGACACCATGTATTGTGTAAAATGTTGACAATATCGAACGTGAATATAAACATTATATGGGGCCTAATGTTTGCATTTAATTTGGTGTATAAACAAGTGCCTCCGTGGTCTAGGGGTATGACTCTCGCTTAACATGTGAGAGGTCCCGGGTTCAAATCCCGTTCGATCCTTTTTTTTCTTGGAATTTTTTTGGGGATTTATTATATAAATGATAGTATTCAGCATGTGAAATGAAAAAGTTATGACGTCTAGCTTATACAAACTCATAAAATCATTATTACAATGTGATGAATATTCTATACAAAGTATGACCAATCTTTCTTGTATATAAAATTAATAGAGCCATTCATGACTTTTCATGGAAAACATAAATTTGTTATACTTACAGTCATTTCTGATTTCTGCACTAGTTGCTTCTGTTCATAAATGTCAACCTGAAGTTTTGTAGCAATGGTAAAAAATGTTGATGTACACTCTTAACGCACTTTGAAAATATTTCTCAAAGTGCGTTGATTTTGTCCCAAATTTAACGCACTGTGAAAAAAATTTTCCTCAGGCAAATATATATTATAAAGAAGTCACAAATGTAAATATAAATAATAAGGTATCATTTTAAAACATCTATGGGATATAAATACGGCATGGCCGTAGGAACTAGGGGTAACCCCCCCTCCCCCCTAAAAATTCGCCGATATATAGATTACTATAGAAAATACAGATACTATATACTTGTGCCCCCTCAATTAAAACGTCTGATGACCTTTTTTTGCTTGTATGGTTGTGCCCCCCCCCCCCCAACTGAAATTGCTTCCTACGGGCCTGTACGGGTTGGTACGTGATTAAATTTACCATAATGCCCTTCGAAAAACATTTGTTCAGAAATATTGTCATATCATAATTCCGGTCTTAACCGATGAGATGGTAAATTGTGCATTATACATGTACATCAATACACATGAAATTCTTCAAATAAACATCGTTAAATGCAATTAATCCTGGATAATATAAGTCAAGCTTTTTCTAATTTCTATAAATAAATTTTCAGGAAATTTTCATTCATGATTACTCTTACTTACATTTTGTGTTGCTCCGTCACTTTTAGAAAAAGATTTATATGCGCCTTTGCTTACATATATATGAGATGGATTAACTGGTTCGCTTTCGGTCTTGAAAAATCTTTTTCCTGTGTATAAAATCAAACTAATTTTATTAAAGAGATTGTAATTTCTGGGGTTTTTTTTTAGCAGAAACATTGGACAGGACGTCAACATTATAGTTCACAATCCGAAGAGAAGTGCACTTAGATCCTGAATTAGTTTGGCATATAGAGCATGCAAAATTAAACATTAAACCTATAACACTGACATTCAAATCTATAAAACAATGTTCTATGTATGTAAATACAACTATTATTATTTCTAGCTCTCTGATTGGCTGAGATCCAACATTTTAGAATATTTACATCCAATGAATATTTTCTCCTTTCTTTCTAAAGAAAACCATTGCCGTTTATCAGTTCGTGAACAACACTAGGCATATCACCTGTACAGAGTAGTTCCATCAATGAAACGTACTATGACGTACATACATGTATCAATAATACAATAATTGATATTTTTAATCATACTTTAAATGATTATTTATACAGATATAAATATAAACAATAAAATGTATTTCTTTGGTTGTTAGCACAGTAATTAACGTCGCAGCTATTGCAGAAAAATTTACATAACCCGCTTAGGAGAGTTATGTATTTTTTCTGCAGCAGCTGCGACATTAATTTCCGTACTAACAACCAAAGTAAGCATTTATTGTTTAAAAAAATAACTACATTATCTTCTCCTGCACATGACTTTCCAGGTGAACATTTTTTACATTGGACTAAAAATAGATCAGGAAATTCCATATTGATACAAATAGTTCTGGAAAGATATTTCACTTGCACCAGACTTCCGCTCAGATGAAAATAACATTTAAGCACATAGAATCGGTTGGGGTGCAAGGAGTCTGCCTCTCCCTTCACTTTTTTTATGAACGTAATTTTTTACTTTTAATTAAGTGAGAAAACGCTCATTAAAAGGCTAGTTGCCCCCTCCCTTCCGATTAAGGACATCAAGACCCTCCTCTCCTTAAAAAACTGGATTTTGAAGAATCTCCCTATTTGGGGGGGGGGGGGGGGGGCTAGTCAAAGATTTCTTACAGGTAAGTTGTCAATTTTTAAAATCCTAAAATGCAATGCCTATAAATACCCTCTATAGTTATCCAAAGTCCCAAGTCCTTGTTAACTGCTTGCATTTCATGTCTCACTGTCATTGTCACTAGTAAAATGTAAAATAATTCCAAAAAGCCCTTCTGATTGGATATAATCTAAACCAATTCATCGAATGAACCTCAAGCAAGGCATTGCTTACAACGTGACGAGAAAAGGTGAAACTAAAATGTCGTAGTTTTGAGGACAGTTCACACTAGAAAGTTCATATTGGTCAACTTTAGTAAGTCATAGTGGGTAATATTAACACACAACCTATTTGTTGGTTAACTTTCTACACTTTTCTACTTTTAATTACGGTCTTTACTGACCTTGTAAGCTATGCATTAACTTTGCCGACTAGGATTTTAAAACCTGTTTCAGAATTAGTCATTATGACGACCATAAAATTTGCGAAATGTTGACTTTAAACCTGATTGAAGAAAGCCCTGTAACATCAACTTAATTGTCATTAAGAATGCCTTGGCTTAAAACTTGATCGTACTTATAACATGCTCTTCGAACTGAATCAGTCGGGAGACATTGACACCATTGCAGATGATTTTGATAGTAGAATATTGCTACAAATATTGGAAGCCAATGATGGAAAAATGAATTCATCACGTTTGATATATAGATTAGTTGTTTAAAATTGGCCATTATCGTCTTAAATCAGTAAAACATCCAAATATGAAAAGAAGTAGTAGACGCTGTGTTGCATTTTATCTCGAGTTCACTGGGATAAATCGAATTGAAATATGAATGCAAGATGTTAACCGTATTTCATCCATAAAAATAACGTTTAGAAGAAATTAATAAGTGGTCACCTGAGTTTGATTGACGTCTTTTGCAAAACTACACAAACCTGGAGTAATACTTCAAGGATTCGAACCAGTGCACATTCATTCTTCCATTTTTTACAAACGTTGGCATTTTTTTTTTTAATTTCCCGTACCGTAACTCTTTGAGGTTTAGTTAGGACCACATTTAGGGTCAACGCATTTTATCTGAACAATGACGAAGCACTATATTTAATTATTTTTTTCCTAAAGGTTTTTCGATTGCAATTTATATCACTGCGCCGCTGGCGCGCTGAGATGGAGGAGTTGAATAACTCCCACAATGGCATTCTATAATAAAGATGGAAAGCCAAGATATTTTAAGAAATATTACCAACACAATTAGAGGGTTCAGCTGATTTTAAAATTTTAACGAACAAATTAAGCAATGCATTGAAAAATCTCATAAAAAAGAACGCATAAATATTCGTACAAGAAAATGGATTTGTTCGTATTGCGAATGAGAAAATAATTCTCCATTTAGCTTGCTTAAATCATAATATATAATTCCCGACAGTAGTCTACAGTTGCTCTCTAGTTAACTTTAACATGCCATTTTAAATTCGTTACACTTTAATAATTGGACGCGTGACCCTTCATAAATTTGGTTAAGGACTTGTTTTTCTCAACATCTCTATGTTAGCATTTTGATGTCTCATAAGCATAAGTTAACATACATAATGTACTGTTTTCTATATAAATGCTTTTCTGAAGGTTTATTTATGCACCTATGGTTGAAATGTAGAAGAGATAATTGAATTCATATGGTCTGTCTTAAGTATGGATGAATCAAAATTTCTTAAGTATTACATGGTGGAAACATTGTTAAGTCAATATACACAAGAATGGTTTATGAGCATAGAAAATTCATCTAAATGTTTAAATTAAAGGATTTTAGGAACTGTTTTGGGCGAGATATGTACCTAAGTAAACTCCCTAAATATTATAGAATTATCTTAACAAAATTTAGAATTTGTAACCACAGACTTCCAATGGAAGCTGTAGATGGACTAATACTGACAGGTCTTTAAGAATATGTAATTTATGTAATAAAAACACTCTAGGTGACGAATTCCATTATGTAATGGAGTGTTCATTTTTATCCTCATTACGTATAAACAAACAAAGCTAGTCAGAGGCGCATCAATATGAAATGCTAACAACAAACAACCGCCACACACACACAATCCAACAAAAAAAAAAAAGAAATCATTTGATGAGGTATGGTTTGAAAAAGAGAGAGATTAAAATAAGAATTTTAACAAACATATTTAAGCAAGGTGTAAAGTGACAGAGATGCAATTCAGTAAAAATCAAAGTACTGTGAGTACTGATAGACGGTGGCGTTTATGAATAAAATGTTATGAGAATCTGTAAAATGAAATAGAAATTATGAAAGTTTATCACAATTTTTCATAAAACATGTATTTGATAGGTAAACATTTTATTTGCGTCATTATAACATGTATCGATTGAAGCTGATAAAGAATTTATTATATAATTTTTTTTAGATTAGGGTTATTCTAAAATAAGGTTTGAAGAATAAGAATATGCCGAAATCTCAGAAACGAATGTTCGGTCGTTTCAAGGTTTTGATTTCTTTTTTGATTATGGTGTGCAATCATAATTGTAAATTTAAATTTAAAAAAAAAAACAAATATATTTGAGGATTTCATGGCGTAGGCAGATTGAAATTATATATTCAAATAATGGATTAATGTACAGTGAATCCTTCATACATGTCAAAATGAATATATGGAGATAACGAACAGTATTCAAGCTCAAAAGTCCATTAAACATTACAAATAAGGCGCAGAGCAAACACGGACCTCCAAAACATCAGAGTTGGGATCAGGTGCCATGGAGGAGTGAGCATCCCCTGTCGACCGATCACACCCGCCGTGTGCTCTTTGTCATGATCGGGAAATAACGGAAAAATCCGTCGACAATACAGTGTGTAAATAATGGCCTTACAATTAGTATGAAAAACGTCAGTCAGCATTTGACTCAATGATAAATTGTATTTGCTGACAAGGTCATTGTATCGACCATAGAACTTACGAAATGATGACTTTAAACGAGACAGCTGATATTCTTGTTTCATCAACTTGTTTGTCAATAATTCACCTCGTTTTAGAAATTGTACATAAGTAGAGCATGCTCTTCCGTATCGAATCAACTGAGAGATATAAACCCCGTATGCAGGTGATGAAGGTATATTGCTGCATAAGTAAGGGAAGTTGACGATTGAAAAGTTAAAGTCATCACGTGTATCATAAAGCTTGGTTGTTAGATTACCATTAACGTCTTTTTCAAGTAAAATATCCAAAAATGAAACAGATGTGTCAGACTCTGTAGTACCTTTTATCTCAAGCTCACCAGGATATATCGTATCGACATAAGAATGGAAATAACCATTGTTAATTGACAATACGTCGTCGATATATCTAAATGTCGAGTTGAAGGCCACAGCAAGTGTTTTCTTCCAGTTTATCCTTAATTCTAATATATTCATGTAGTGACCAAACTTAATAATTTCAATATAACTCTATTATTCAAAAACTTCAAGGTCATGGGGTCAAAATTCATAGTATATTTGGAAAGGTCTTGCCGCAGGTAATGTACATGTCAAATATGAAAGTCTTATCCCTTCTTAATGAAAATTATAAGCAAAGATTAAATTTTTGAAAAGTAGTTTAAATTTCAAGGTCAAGGGGTTAAAACCATAGTAATTTAGAAAGGTCTTGTCACAGGTAATGTACTTGTGTAATACGAAGGCCCTACGAAAGGTCGCTCTGACGTGACCCCGAATGGGATGTTGTTAGATGTTTGAGAAGCGGTAGCGGATTCGGAACATCTAATTTTAATTAGATTGAGTATTTTCAATAAAATAAGTACTTCAATCTCTGCCCTTTCTGCTCTCTACATAGAGTTTTGCTTATTGCTTTCCTCCGTGTACCTTCACAACCAGGCCCTGGGCCTCGACCACCCACACGTAACATGAAAGATTTCACTTTGATATCATCGGAAGATTCCGGCGAACGTACGAATGTGTCATTTTTGGACCATCTTCTAAAGTAAATAACTTTAAG